GTACTGATAGCATCAGCTCGACAGGTTTAGAGAAGAGGCCTACCTGTCCATTTCTGGATGTGTGCCCTATAGGCATCCCATGGGAGGGGCTCACCGGTAACGACCTCTCCACATCGAATGCAATGGAGGGAGTCGAGGAGGTCTGCGAGGGCACTGCACAGCGTAGAGGGGCAGAGGACCTACCTAGGTTGGAGGATGAGGGGTCAGTGGTGACTGCACTATGCAGAGGGACCACGCATATGGGGGACGACGGTTCACTATCGGGCTCAGGCATATATAGCAAATCACTACGACGAGTTTCCTGTGGTGAAAGGGGTTGACCACCGTAGTAACGGAAGACAGCATTGCTAGGGAGGAATAACCGGGCCAGTGGTCCATGGGTACGTTGTGTAAGCAGCCACCGTCCTAACCATAGAGCTCAGCTGCCCACTCGTGGGAGGAGAACCCAAAGCAATGACTATGGTTGGGCCTCGCTGGGACTCCACGAGGGTAGACGATGCGCACACCTACTCTTCGCATGAGCAACAACACCATCCTACTCGACGACTATGTCGAGTGAATGTGGCCTTGGTGAGGACTGCACTGATCGGCTCCAATGTGACGAAGACTACTTCCCTCCCAGAGGGGTCCGGTACAGTCTCACTAACACTCAAAGACTCTCTCTATCGAGTTGCATCTACTCAGTTCATCCAATGGCACCACCACCAGCTAGCGATCAAGATTCCAGTGAACACAACTTTCGAGCGGCGAGTGGTTGTGGGCGCGCGCTAAATACATTCCCCCAGCGGCGCCACCGTTGCCTCATCGTCGTAGTAGGAGTTGATGCCTATACGTTTCTGAGTCTCTGTTGTTACATTATGGACGCTCTTTCCCCATCCGGGGTCGACCCTGCCCAGACTACTGAGGCTGATAATTCTACCATTGACACGGGGAAGGATTCGGCCACCAGCTCGGGTGGTGGTCGCAAAACAGTTCAGATTGAGGGAGGCCCTTCACTGGGGACTGTCACTACTGTGGTGACCGCGGCTAGTAGGGCGAGTCGTAGATCTGTGAAGCCCGTGACACCAGTGTTAAAGCGAAGGAATTCGGGGGTTCAGGGGGAGGCCCCTAAGGTTAATGTAGCGATGAAGGGGACGGTCACACAACAGCTGCCTGTAGAAGTGGTAGGCCATCGTAAACAAACAGGAGGGCGACCGGAGTCGAAGACTGAATCTGAGGTGGGTATCTTAGGTTGCACCGAACAAGATACAAAATAGGTCCGGTTGAGGCACATTGTCTCTTCTTAGGGTAATCTGTCCGCCCCCAAGTCCAGTACATCCTATTCCGTCGAATCCAGTGCCAAACGCCTCATCGAGGGCTCAGGTATGATGAACTCTGGTAAGCTCACTCGACAGTCTACCATACCCATGAGGCCCAACGGCCCCCAGTAGGCCCCCCATGCACGCATGTACAAAATCATTTACACTGCACTCCTCTGCTGAGTCCCATCCTAGGTTGTGTTATCAACTCCTACCCCATATCGCAGCTATTACTACCATAACTCGTATCAATGCTCTTCCTCACTCTATCGGCCATTACCTCTATAGTGACAACGGCATTCGACGGCTCCTTTGGGGGCTCTCAGGTTATTCAGGACAACGGTGACTCTTTCCTCACTGTCACCGTGAAGGTAGTCGTGATGACCATGACCCAGCGGGAGTGGTGGGGCCTCAGGTTGGGGATAAGGTCATTAAAGTGATCCCCGACAGTGGCTCGTTCGACCTCTATCTCATTGACCAAGGGGCATGCTCAGAAGGCCTGGGGCTGTGCCGTATGGCATACAACTCCAAAGAGTAGGAACGCCCAGTTGAGGGGTTGGTAGAGCCCCGACGGGACTCAGGTCTGGCACCCATAAGTTCCCTGATGGGGATGTTATTAAAGACGTGGTCTTCGGTAGTGGCACGGCTAGGTGTCGGCTGGGCTTCGACAAAGCGGAACTGGTACTAGTAGTAGTAGTAGTAGTAGTAGTAGTAGTAGTAGTAGTAGTAGTAGTAGTGGTAGTAGTACTAGTAGTACTAGTAGTACTAGTAGTAGTAGTAGTAGTAGTAGTAGTAGTAGTAGTAGTAGTAGTAGTAGTAGTAGGCACACACGGTGTCGGAACAGGTTAATGAAGATGACGAAGTGAACGCAACGGCACACTCTAAGGGCTCGCCTATGGAGGCCCCTTACGATGCTTCCTTTGTCGGTAGGGGGTCACCTAAAGTCCTCTTCCCCCTATGGCAGATCTTTGCCCTCGATGAGGGTCTCCTTAGGATGTACTACTATTGCAAACTCCTAAGCTGAGTAATGTGCCTCCTTCCTTTCAGTTGGGGTGATGGTAAGGGCTTCCAGGGTATACTGGGTATGGGGTATAAGGCTGGGGAGGACGTCAGCCCTGACGAGGTAGTAGGGCTCCTCTACCATGTCTAGTGGTGGCCGCCTTAAGTAGCCCCATAGTACCTTGCTCGATGTAGGATCTTACTGTTGTCATCATTATCGTTGTAGGCTCTAAAGCAGTTGAATGCTACAGAGGGCGTATCAGCCGTCACTGGTGTCTCCACCCTAGCCCCAGGGGAGGGCGCTTCGGAATTGTTCACGGACAAGTTCGCCATATGCCTCCCTAGAGGGTCTCGGGTAGGCGGCCACCTAGTTGTCGCTGGCCCCATGCTCCGGTACAGGCTAAGAAGTTGGTCCTGCCTGAGCTGGTGGCCTCTCGTGGTCTTCGTAGTACTTCTAAGGCCGTCTCCTTGTCGACTGATCACCCTACCAAGTTCGAGGACCTCACTACTGATGATAAGGGTAGTAGGGTAGTGGTCCTTGGGGGCCTATGAGGAAGTGGTGTCAGGCATGCTATGGTGGGGGGCCTCCATCCCCCGCAGTCGGAAGTTCCCGATCAATACCCCAGTCATTGGTGTAAGGCATTGGACCATCGGCATCAAGAGCGTCCAGGTAGGCCCCCCCCTTCCTTATGGAGCTGGTCGGATAGTCCTTGCCTCTAGGTAGTGGACTCTACCAAGGGAGGCGGCGGCAAGGTCCTGACCTCCTTCTGTGACCAGTCGCCCTGTGCGGCCCTAGTCGATAGTGGTATGATGCCTCCTCGTCCGTGTTGGAGGAGACGAAGTCGCCCTCCCCTCAGGGACATCCCTCTTCGCGTTACCGGTGCCCAGGGTGAAGGAGATCTTCAGGAGCCTCGGGGACCTCAAGTTGGACTGCTCTAATGTACAAGACCTCCCTGATATACAGTAGGGGTGACCATGCTGGCCGAGGGGTAATTTCGTGGCGCGTGACGCTGTAGGATCGCTCTTGGGGACTCGAAGGAGCCGTTGGTGATCACACCCGAGTCGTACGTGATGAAGATCCAAGCCCACGACTTGTCCCTATACGAGTCATTCGGCCAGAGTCTGATGCTGGCCGGCGACCTCCAGCGTATCAAGAGCTCTGCTAACCCCAACGTCACCCTATGTAGTCCGAAAGGGACAGAGGCCCTCACTGAACTCTTTGTGTAGGCCTGCCAGCGTTTATGGCCTCCCCCGTGTCCCAAGGGACCGTGAAGGACTTCCCATCGTACCTTCAGACGGAAGACCATCTGACGGAGATGATGGTACTGGTGCCGGCAGTGCAGATGGTGATGGTCGTGGGATCAGATACTGGGCATTCCTATATTCAGAGAGTACACTGTGCTGTTCGACAGGCAGTCTAGTGCTATCGCCTTCGACAGGTGTGTCTCCACTACTCTCACTATCACCGTGCAGTGTTTTGGTTAGGAACCCCGACGATGGAAGTGGGTGCAGTAGTAGTACGACTGCAGGCCAGAGCTCCCTCATCCACCAGGGCCATGTTAGAAGTCGTAGTAGGAGGCCCCTCGCTGTAGTAAGGTGCACTGAGGGTAGGGCTAGTTGTGCTTTGGCAGATACGAAGCATGCCTGCTCCGGAGAACCTGATATTCCCCTCGGGTTTGGATTCCCTCCGTAGGGTCGCCCCTCCGTCCAGTGGGGCTGTCATTGGCTCGGAAAGGATGCTCTAACATGGGTGTTGGCCTGATGGTGTTGATCTATGCGCTCCTTGTTGAGTTAGTAGCGGCTGGGTTCAATTCCGAGCCCTATCGTATTCCCCCCTAGGGTTGTCGAGATTCATAACTCTTTCTCCTGCATATAGTCGCCCTGTGGTCGAGGATATCCCCTTTATTGCGTCGTAAGGTGTCAGCATCCCTCTCCCCCATGTCCCTCTTCCCCTCTGATACGGATGGCGAAGTGAAGCATTTGAAAGGGGCGACCTTGGACGAGGTAAGGGTGAGGCCCTCTCACTGTCGAGGGGCCTTCATCAGGTCGTCACGGCCAGGGAGTGCGTTATATTCTCGACACCAGCTTGTGGATGGTGTATTAAGGCCAAGAGGTTCCTCACAGAAGAGCTCATGGTCCCCTGCAGTTACTATAGTCTTCATGAGTAATAAGCATTCATCACTTGGGTGGAAATCGTCGTCCTATTTCGACAGCTCTCCCGTACTAGCAAGAGAGCTCATCAACAGAACGGGTATGAGGACAGTACCAAACATATATATCCGAGGGCGACATGTGGGTGGTTATGATGAGCTGCAGAGGATGTAGGAGGGCGAGAGGGAAGACTACCG